TCTAAAAACCGACTAAGATAGATAGATAGATAGATAGATATCCATTTTGTTGATATCTCTAGCTGCTATTATCTATATACTTACTCTTAGTCTGTTCGTATCTATCTATCTATCTATCTATCTATCTATCCTTTTGATTCCGTCCATGTCTATCTAAATCACTCTGTTCATATCTATCTATCTATCTATCTATCTATCTATCTATCTATCTATCTATCTATCTAATAAACCGACTAAGATAGATAGATAGATAGATAGATATCCATTTTGGTTGATATCTCTAGCTGCTATTATCTATATACTTACTCTTAGTCTGTTCGTATCTATCTATCTATCTATCTATCTATCTATCTATCCTTTTGATTCCGTCCATGTCTATCTAAATCACTCTGTTCATATCTATCTATCTATCTATCTATCTATCTATCTATCTATCTATCTCTTATCTTATCTAGCTGATAATATATAGTTTTAAGGTATGCTATAATTATGTACTCGATATCATGGATAGAGCGTATGTCAATATAAAAGTGGACGTTGAGGTCAACACCCAACAGCGACAGTGTATTTCTTGCTTAAACGCAATCGTCATGGCCTGACGACTCCGTTTAAATAAACTCTCGCCGCTGGATGTTGAACCCGATGTTCACTTAAATATACATACATTATTATTTACACTTTTGTGTCGGATACTATTATACTCTACACACACAAACGCGTGCAGACACACATACACACACATATATATGCGTGTGTGCGTGTGTGTGCGTGTGTGTGTGTGTGCCAGATAGTGAATTATTTGTTAAAACTGAACGTATTAAAAGTGTTCAATACAAAGTCGGAAGACTAGACTTGCAGAGCTGTTTAATATTGTGAAAGGATAAAAGCTGACCAGAGCACACTACTGAGGTTTCGATCTCTACGGTCTCCTCAGGTCGTTTGTTCAGCAAATCAACTACATGCAGCACTTTCGAAACCGGAAGTAGTTGGGAGAAAAAAAATGTTCTAACTTTAACCGGGTTTCCTTCCCCACACTACTTCCGGTTCCGAAAGTGCTTATGTTGTTGAGCTCCGTGTAGTTGATTTGTTAAACAAATACCTGATGAGAATGTAGAGGCTGAAACCGCAGTAGTATGCTCAGGTTAGCTTTCATCCTTTATATATATATATATATATATATATATATATATATATATATAATTATTTATTTTAAAATATGATTCTAACTCGCGACATAAGAGGTGTCATGTTTCAAAACAAGAGCCGAAAACTTCAATATAATTATTTGAATTAAATTGAGTTAAAGTAAGCTCTGTTCCATCTTCAAGCGAATTTTTTTTTTTGAATAACGTATTTCTGAAATTTACGTGTTTTAATAACTGAAATCAAAATTTCCATGGTAACAGCTAGGGCGAATTGTTTAAATTGGGTAGGCGTGTGTTGGGTGTTAATAATAAGTATCAATATACAGTTACTTTCATGGATGTCAAGTCAGGGAAAGGTGGGGGTGTCTAAATTTGAAACGGAGGATCTATTAACCCTAGTCTGGCATGCGTGTCTATGGAGATTTATTTATTTTTTCATTTTATTTTTTTATGAAAGGGATTTGTGCATATAAAAAACTGCCGTAACGTTTGTTTTTTTGACGACTTCATAAAGGGTTATCTTTTTTGTAGGTTATTTAAACTATTTATTTGGGCTATGGATTATGAAAGTTATTATATTGTATGCTTGTTTTCAGCTAATAATTCAAACCATAAATCTGATGATGTCGACAGAAAACCGTTAATTCATGTCTATTGTTTAATAGATTATTATTATTATTTAGAAGCTTAATAATGTGCAATTTCTCATGGAGGCACAAAGGGCATGGGTCATCCCAAGTTTTACATGTTCTAGCACTGTTTATAATTTTCCATTTTACTTTAGGTGTCCTATTTGTTTCCTTCAGTTGCCAAAAATATTTTGATAGGGAAGTCTGATTTCTTTTATTTATATTATTGAAAGAGCACTTATGCTGCCTCCATCTATCTTTAAAATTATTCTTCGTAGACCCAATGTATATCATATTAGTGCTAGGACTCTCAGTGGATGATATAGTACATTGGTATACCACAGATTTAATGCAGCATTTATTTTCTAATGGGCAGTCTTATAGGTTTCTACAATTACATAATTTTCCCCTTTTATTGTCTGATTTAAGTGCAGGGTTTTTATTAATACTATTCAAGCATGGGGGTTTGTTCAAGATCTTATTATTGTGTTTTTTTATTATACGTTCAAGATTTTCAGAGCAGCTGTAACTCAATTTTAGGGTGTTCTTATTGAATATATTACTAAGCTTACTATTGGTGGGGAAGTGTTTATCAATTAGGTTTAAGAATTTCTGTCCTAGTTTAATATTAACCATTTGGTTGAACGGAGGGGTGTACCAAATGATTTTTCTTTTCCTGTTTTTTTTCTTATGGCCAGTGCAATCGTCTCTATAGTTAAGGTTAGCATTTTTATAACCACTATTTTTTTAGGGCAGTGTTATAGAAGCCATTGTGTTGTTGGAATATTTCCTTGTTAGCGGAGTTAATGCTAATTCTATTTTCTATTGACGAGGGTATATATATATATTATATATATATATATATATATATATATATATATATATATATATATATATATATATATATGTGTATTACGTGCTAATACTCCTAGAAAAGGCATGAATCCATCTCTTCTCTCCCCTTCCCAGCTATTGGTAAAGAGAAGGACAGATTTGGTTCTATAGCTTTGGGTGGCGAACGGTCTAGGAGAAGGACAATTCTGAATCCAAAACCTGTGGAAAAATCCTTTGGGGATCTTGTAGTATACTGTGCACCAGTTCTCTGTATTTGGCTCTTCCAAAAAATGTAATTGGTTCTACACAACCCTTGACCATTATAATCAGATGATATTTACGGGTAGTCTAGTTGTTGGTTCTGAGAACTGAGCTGCTGGACCTTCGTACGATGTGAGAGTCCAGTATATAACAGAAGGTTGCCTATCATCTGGTTCACAATCCTCAACGGTCTTTTGAACAGGAGTAGAGGTTTATCCCTTGTTTCCTGTTTAGAATTGGGCACCCTATTCCTTCTAAAGATATTTTTTTAAATTCCTTTTCACTCCCAGTAGCCGCTTGCATTTTAGTGGCATTATTACCCTTCTTGGGGTAAAAGGATTTTAAAAAATGCCTCTCATTTTGACTGATGAATTGAGCATGTATATTAAATTCAGGAGTCACTGTAGAGTAATAGATAGCGGCTCGAGGAATCGGTGAGCCGAGTTCGAACTCCAGTTGAATCAATTACACTCACTTACGTGCTAATACCCTTGGGAAAGGTATGAATCCTCTTCTTCTCCCCACAGTTATGAGTAAATAGCAAGACAGACTGGGTTCTATAGCCTTGGATGGCAATTGGTCTACCACAAAAAGAAATGGCAACCTACTACGGGAAAATAATATGTCTCGTCTGTCATGTATAGAAAAATACATGATCGCTTACGCGTGTATCACGCATGGCACATAACTGACTGATATTAGATTCTCCCTTTGTTTTTCGAGGTTCGTACTTAATGATTTTCCATTTTGCGACAGTTGTAACTCGTCATTGTTAAAACATGAAATCACGCGAAGCAGGCAGAGAATGCTTTTGTTTTTATCATTTGGAAAAGTTTTTTTTTTTAATTGTTTTCTGAAGGGACAATAAAAAAAATCACAACTAGCATGGAAAACCCTGCTGGTTCGATTAATTGGTTTATTTTGATCTTAAATGGTTATATCAAACGTGCAATGATTTTTTTTTTTATTGGTGCATTTCTTTGTTTCTTTCATCTAATTTTTATCTATCTATCTATCTATCTATCTATCTATATCTATCTATCTATCTATCTATCTATCTTAGTCTACTCATTACCTATCTATCTATCTATCTATCTATCTATCTATCTATCTATCTATCTATCTCTCTCTCTCTCTCTCTCTCTATATATATATATATATATATATATATATATATATATTAGTTCACGCATTATGTATCTATCTGTCTAGCTAGCTTAGTGTACTAATTACCTATCTATCAATCTTAATCTTAGTCTACTCATTATCAAAACCATCTCTCTCTCTCTCTCTCTCTCTCTATATATATATATATATATATATATATATATATATATATATTATCTATCTATCTAGCTAACTAGCTTAGTGTACTAATTACCTATCTATCAACCTTAGTCTACTCATTGCCAAACTATCTATCTATCTATCTATCTATCTATCTATCTATCTATCTATCTATCATATATATATATATATATATATATATATATATATATATATATATATATATATATATATATATTAGTCTACTCATTATCTATCTATGCTTTGCTATGCTATCTATCTGTGCTTTGTTGAAACACCGGTGTCCATGCAATCACCGAAGTTAAGAAACATCGATCTTGGTCAGGACTTTGATTGCTGACCATTTTCAGAAAATAATCTATCTATCTATCTATCTATCTATCTATCTATCTATCTATCTATCCAGACAAAAGAATCGCTGTAAAGGACCTAATATTATTAAGTAAATATGATTTGAAAACAAACAAAAGTCAGATATTCCACTGTTGTATTTAAGATTTTACATCTTTATTAATGTATTGTCGACTAAAAATCTGAAAGATTGCCAATCGGAAATCTTTCCCCAACAGTATAGGTTAGTTTTCCAAACGTTGCAAAATATGAAACCAGATATAAGTAAATAGACAATAAACTTATTGATTGCTTATAACGCGTGCTTTAAAGAAAGAAAAATAATGACCTCCCTCAGGTGAAAGAAATTTCAAAACGTGAAAGTTATATACACCAAGAGTTACATCGGATGAAACATTGCAGTTTTCTAAGCCGTTTTAAATGTCCTTCGTGACTGATTCATCAACCTACAGGAGTTCGTTTCAGTGTCTCCTTACATTCTTCTGCAGAGATTAGGTGTTGCTCGTTGTTTATTAGTGGATATGCGATGTGACTGTCGACAATTGATTGACGTGACCAATGTTCGTGCAGCCAAACTGAGTTGAGAGAGAAAGCGAAAGAGAGAGAAAACGAAAGAGAGAGAGAGGGAGGGGGGTAGGGAGGAGAGATTACTATATAGAACGGGCAAATGGTGTCAAATGGATTACAAAACTATCGCGTTGTGACAACACACCCAATTACATTCTGAAAGCGCGGGCTGTAAACGGGGCAGGTTTTAACTAGATTCTGAACACCACCTGCTTCCGAGGTTTTTAGACACGCACACCCTTTATTAGAGACTTTGAACCATTCAGATAATGCATACTATGAAAATGAAACACATAACCGCTTTTAATAGGAACATCATTGCAATTTTTTTTTCTTAATTAAAAAGTTATTTGATAAAATAAATATAATGACAAGGAACAAAGAAACCTGTCTCTATTTATTTTAAGGAAACTTTATAGATAGATAGATAGATAGATAGATAGATAGATAGATAGATCTATCTTTATCGATAGATAGATAGATAGATAGATAGATAGATAGATAGATAGATAGATCTATCTTTATCGATAGATAGATAGATAGATAGATAGATAGATAGATAGATCTATCTTTATCGATAGATAGATAGATAGATAGATCTATCTTTATCGATAGATAGATAGATAGATAGATAGATATGAGCAAAATTAGATAGCTAGATAAATAGATATGAGCAAAATTAGATAGATAGATAGATAGATAGATACGAGCAAAATTAGATAGATAGATAGATAGATAGATAGATAGATACGAGCAAAATTAGATACATAGATAGATAGATAGATAGATAGATAGATAGATAGATCTATCTTTATCGATAGATAGATAGATAGATAGATAGATAGATAGATAGATAGATAGATAGATAGATAGCTATGAGCAAAATTAGATAGCTAGCTAGCTAGCTAGTTAGCTAGCTAGATAGATAGATATGAGCAAAATTAGATGAATAGATAGATAGATAGATAGATAGATAGATAGATAGATAGATCTTTATCGATAGATAGATAGATAGATAGATATAGATTTTTATCTATCTTTATCGATAGATAGATAGATAGATAGATAGATAGATCTATCTTTAAATCGATAGATAGATAGATAGATAGATAGATAGATAATGATTATGAGAAAATTATGTGGATAGCTAGATAAATAGATATGAGAAATTAGATAGATAGATAGATAGATAGATAGATAGATAGATAGATAGATAGATAGAACAATAAAAAATTAGATAGATAGATAGATAGATAGATACGAGCAAAATTAGATAGATAGATAGATAGATAGATAGATAGATAGATAGATAGATAGATAGATAGATAGATCTATCTTTATCGATAGATAGATAGATAGATAGATAGATAGATAGATAGATAGATAGATATGAGTATAGATAGCTATGAGCAAAATTAGATAGTTTAGCTAGCTAGCTAGTTAGCTAGCTAGATAGATAGATATGAGCAAAATTAGATAGATAGATAGATAGATATAGATAGATAGATAGATAGATAGATAGATAGATATAGATAGATACGAGCAAAATTAGATAGATAGATAGATAGATAGATAGATAGATATGAGCAAAATTAGATAGATAGATAGATAAGGAAGAAACAGAGTGAGCGCGAAAGGAAGACAATGAGATCATTCTTCTTTCATTCATTTTTCCGTGCCTTTCTTCTTTATCTTTCCTTCTAAGACAGACATAAAGACAAATAGATAGATAGATAGATAGATAGCAAAGAGACATAGATAGATAGATAGATAGATAGATAAGGAAGAGACTGAGATAGATGTATACAGCGAGCATTTTCATTTCTTTCTTTGTTTCTTTCTTTAATTCATTTATTCATTTTTCCTTTTCTTTCTTATTTACCTTCCCGTTTGATAAAGACAAATGAATAAACAGATAGATAGATAGATAGATAGATAGATAGATAGATAAAAAACGAACTCGTGAGAAACAAGGATAGATATATTAGAAGAAAGAAAGAACGAAAGAAAGTATTAGCGGAACTTAAAAATATAAGAAAACGAAGAGTAAATAGTGGCTAATACTGAAAAAGATTCGATATATATATATATATATATATATATATATATATATATATATATATATTCAGTGGGAGAAATAAATATTCGTACACATACAAATTTTTAATTTATTGTATTTCCAACTAATGAATTAACCTACTTTTATATACCTTACTGTGCACACATGCATGATAACTAAATATGCATAGAAAACAGAAAAAATGATTTAATAGAAATAAATCCCATTTTATCTAATTTAATGGGTGAAAAAAGTATTCATAAATACAAAAAAGAATATATAATCTTCATTTAATACTTTGTAGAATCGCCATTAGTCACTTCTACAGCAACCAACTTCATCTTGTAATTCTCAATTAATGATGTGCAAATTTTACTTGATATTTTGTTCCATTCTTCTTTGCATGTGATCTTCAGATCCGGGATGTTTGTTGGAGCTCTCGATTGGATTTGAATTTTCAAATAACGCCACAGATTCTAGATTAGTTTTAAATCTGGGAACTGACTTGGCCATTTTAGTATATTTAAATTATTTTCAGTAAGCCATTTCTTCGTAGATTTTGCAATGTGCTTAGGATCTTGTTGGAAGATACAATTAGGTGGAAGTTCTAGGTTTTCATCCGAAATCATTAAATTTACTTTCAAAATATTTTGATATGTTGCAGCATTCATTCTACCATCTATTATTCATATGTTGCCAGTACCTTTTTCAGAAAAAAACATTCCCAAACAATGATGCTGCCACCAGCAAATTTCACTGTTGGAACTATGTTCATTTGTTTGAAGACATCGCCATCTTTCTTCCATATATGATTTCTAGAATTACGTCTAAACAACTCAGTTTTGTTTTCCTCTGTCTATAATACACTTTCCCAATACGATTTTTCCTTATCCTTATGTTTATGAACGAATTTCAACCTGGCATTTTTGTGTCTTTTCAATAACAGTGAAGTTTTCCGAGGGAAGCGTGACTTTAGATTGTTCCTATGAATTTCATTACTTATTGTCCGTTTAGTGACATAGATTCCTGATGAAAGCAAATCATCCTGCAACTCTTGACGAGTAACCATTGGATTTTGTTTAATTTGCCGAATTAATTTCCTCGAAGATCTTGATGAATTCTTCCATGGAGCACCAGTTCTTCTTTGGTTTTCAACAGTTTTGGGTTTTATACCTTGCAATTAAAGAAATAATGGTAGTAAATCGAATATTCAGGTTGTCTGGGATTGTAACTTTTAACTTCTTTTACTGAGCGTAACAATCAGTTCTTTTCGTGAATTTCTCAATTCTTTAACTCTTGTCATGATGAAAACCTTCTTGCACGAATATCAATTACAGAATGTTCTGTTTTCATTTTTAGACTAAAAATAACCATTGATGATATTATTGGAACATTCTAGAATATTCCAGTTGAATAATCTAGAGTATTAAGGAAATTTAATAGTTTTAAAATCGGAAATTTGCATTGTACGAATATTATTTCACCCATTAAAATGGATAAATTGGATTTATTTCTATTAAATCAATTTTTTTCTGTTTTCTATGCATATTTAGTTATGTATCTGTGTACAGTTAATGATATGAAAAGTATGATTATTCTTTAGTTGGAAATATAATAAATTAAAACAATATAAAGCTCTTTGTATTTCATTGTGACTTATGCGTCGATAAATATATTGATACTTGTATTGTAACTATTTAAGCTATTTACATTATTCGGACTCTTCTCATTTTGAGTGTTAGTCTATTTTTTATGTCATTTTTAATTTGTTTTGTTTAAATGTTATTTTTGAGTAGAGGCTGTGTTTTTTAATTTAACAGTATTTTTATCCAACTATCTGTACTGGCCTGAATATTCGAGAAATCTTATCAGAAAAATATGCGTCCTTCGGTAGGATTCGAATCTTCATCCACTAGATAGATAGATAGATAGATAGATAGATAGATAGATAGGATTAAGGTGAGAAAAGTTTGTCACGTAACTGATTGGTGTTACCTTCAGCATCCCGACTCCAGAGTTTCGTAGCCGGACCTGAACGTCCACTCCTCAGGGTGTATCAGCAATTTACTGATTATAGATAATGAAGAAAGTTAAATGAATGAATAAAGAGATGATTTTTCTTTCTTTCTTTCCTTTTTTCTTTCTTTCTTTTTTCATTCTTCTACTAAGATAGATAGATAGATAGATAGATAGATAGATAGATAGATAGATAGATAGATAGATAGATAGTGTTGTGGTAGGATTTGCATAGTGGAGTACCGACCATATAAATATGGTTGGTACCGGGAAGACGGGGAGAGGAATCAAGAGATTCAATCCAGAGACTCTGCCCGACTGCGACTAAGTCAACACATTCTCCAGGAACGGTCTTCCCAAGAATATACAAAAGGCGACGAGGATGAGATCCATTATTGAAACTTGACTAATGCATGGAATAATAATACAACACAAAATGTACTGAAACAAGAAAGTGTACACAATATTTACATATAGACTTTTGTATATGTTATGTTATGCGTTGTTTTCCTCTGTCCATCTTTCTCTGTCCCGTGAGTATCAGATTTTCCAAGCCCTTTTTCCTCATTATGTACCATAGAAATTTCAACTGTCTCTTCCTGAAGTTAATTATAACGTTCCTTTTTGTTTCCATTTTCGAAGTTGCCCTCATGTTCGGTCCATTGTATCCTCAGTATCCTTCTGTAGAACCACATTTCTGTTGCTTCAAGTCTCTTCTTTATCTTTGAAGAGTGTCTAGCATTCAGTGCATATAAGACGAAAGATATCACGTAAGAGTTCAGTACTCTTATCTTTGGTTCTAACGAAGTTTTCCTGTTTCTGAGTACTCTGCTTAGCTTTTGGAAGGCATCTTTGTTTATCCAATGCGCTTTAGGGTTTCTGTGTCACACTTTCCGTCCTCTTCTAGAACACTTCCCAAATAGTTATTTTTTTTTTTTTTACTTGGTTGATTTTGATATCTCCGATTTGTAATTTGCATTTTGGGTTGTTCCTTTTGCTAACTACCATCCATCTATCTTCTTGCAGTTGATGTTTAACCCTTTCTTCTCTCCTTCCTTCGCTGCATTCTTTAGGAGCTTTTGTAGTTTTCTTTACGCGTCTGCCATCAACACTATGTCATCTGAATATTTCTTCTTCATCTTAGGAGCTTACTTTAGCGTTACTTAACATTGTCTGTCCTGGGTAAAACGATAAACTACATCCACGTCCTGGATAAGACGATAAACTACATTCACATCCTGGGTGAGACGTTAAACTACATCCACGTCCTGGGTAAGACATTACACTACATGCGCGTCCTGGATAAGACGATAAACTACATCCACATCCAGGGTAAGACGTTAAACTACATCCACATCCAGGGTAAGACGATAAACTACATCCACGTCCTGGGTAAGACGTTAAACTACATCCACGTCCTGGGTAAGACGTTAAACTACATCCGCGTTCTGGATAAGACGATAAACTACATCCACATCCAGGGTAAGACGTTAAACTACATCCAGGTCCTGGGTAAGACGATAAACTACATCCACGTCCTGGGTAAGACGTTAAACTTCATCCACGTCCTGGGTAAGACATTAAACTACATCCACGTCCTGGGTAAGACGTTAAACTACATCCACGTCCTGGGTAAGACATTAAATTACATGCGCGTCCTAGATAAGACGATAAACTACATTCACATCCAGGTTAAGACGTTAAACTACATCCACGTCCTGGGTAAGACGTTAAACTACATCCGCGTCCTGGATAAGACGATAGACTACATCCACATCCAGGGTAAGACGTTAAACTACATCCACGTCCTGGGTAAGACATTAAACTACGTGCGCGTCCTGGATAAGACGATAAACTACATCCACGTCCTGGGTAAAACAATAAACTACATCCAACAGCAAGGCCTCTGATCAGGCGGCTTTGAGGAACGTGGAACCACCTCTTAATTGGTGGTTCTCCCAGATCCACCCTGGCCCGATGTGGTAGCACCTGTTAGGTTCCCAACTATGGGCAAATAGTTGGCCCCAAAACTGGGGTCGAAGTAATAAGAAAGTGTAAAAATAGGTTTTAATATCAGCAATACTTTTTCTGGAAAAGGTTATTACCAGCAATGAATTTTTGAAGAAAAAAATTATTACCAGGAATACATTTTTGAAAAAAATAAATAAAATACCAGCAATAAATATCTTGTCGGCATTAAATAACGCATCATATGCCGTAAAACAAACCAAACCAATTTGCATTTGTTTCATGAAACAAACCAAACCAATTTGTATTTGTTTCATGAAGCTCAAATTTTGGTGGCGGCTGTAGATATTTATCTTTGTCAATCCAGTCTTTTGCATTGAATATTGTAGTATTATAAACCTTTTTTGCATCACTTGTTATGATATTGTTGTGGTAGGATCCACCTAATTTGCATAGTGGAGTACCGACCATATAAATATGGTTGGTACCGGGAAGAGAGGGAGGAATCAAGAGATTCAACCAGAGACTCTGCCCGACTGCGACTCAGGCAACACATTCTCCAGGAACGGTCTTACCAGGAATATACAAAAGACTATATGTAAATATTGTGTGCACTTTCTTGTTTCAATATGTTCAATATCTTTCTCCTCGGTTTTCTTACTGTTGGAATCAAGAGATTCAACCAGAGACTCTGCCCGACTGCGACTCAGTCAACACATTCTCCAGGAATGGTCTTACCAGGAATATACAAAAGACTATATGTAAATATTGTGTGCACTTTCTTGTTTCAATATGTTCAATATCTTTCTCCTCGGTTTTCTTACTGTTGGAATCAAGAGATTCAACCAGAGACTCTGCCCGACTGCGACTCAGTCAACACATTCTCCAGGAACGGTCTTACCAGGAATATACAAAAGACTATATGTAAATATTGTGTGCACTTTCTTGTTTCAATATGTTCAATATCTTTCTCCTCGGTTTTCTTACTGTTGGAATCAAGAGATTCAACCAGAGACTCTGCCCGACTGCGACTCAGTCAACACATTCTCCAGGAACGGTCTTACCAGGAATATACAAAAGACTAGATGTAAATATTGTGTACACTTTCTTGTTTCAATACATTTTGTTCTAAGTATATTTTGTGTTGCATTATTATTCCATGCATTAGTCAAGTTTCAACAGATATATTTAAGTAACGGGTTATTTCTCCATTGTGAAAAGTGACTTGCCGCTATACACAAACGTGTGAAACTAAAACGCTGAGGTTACTAACTTTTCTAAATGTTGGTATATGTCAGATTGCGATATGTTTAATATTTGCCATGAATTGCTTTCCGCCAATGACATTAAATCTTAATTTACCTTTACTTAACATTACCTTTGCAAGGAACGTTTTATTTCTCTGTTGTGAAAGAGACTAGTGGCTATGGATAAACATTTTCGTTTTGTTCTTTTCGCTAAGAGTGTGTGGAAACGCCCAGCTTATTGATTTTCCCAGCCTTTTCTAAGTGTTAACGTATGGTAAATTTTGATGTGTTCAACATCTTAGCTAATTTGCTGCAATAAATTTAGAGCTTCATCATCAAAGACCAAACAAACTCCCCAATCCAGTTCCAACTTCCAACGACGTTTCTCTTGAAGGAAACAAATTACTTACTTACCAGTCAGTTATGACTCCTTGACCGTAAACACGTTTTGACAGATGTCTCCTTAAGAAATGAATACAGAACCATTTGTTGTCTATAAACCGACCGAAAAGTAACAGTGTCGGGGAAAATACAACAGAAGAGAGGATTTCATTTTTTTTTTTTTTTCGGAATTTTTCTAATGAGGAATTATTATTAATATATGCCTTTCCATTAAGACTAACATGTCTGATGGCATGCGTAAGGTTGGACGACCCAAGCTGCGCTTCAAGGAGCAGTGAAAAACGGTCACGTTCTATCAATGTTGCAAATTGGGATGCGTTTGCCTACGAGTGGGCTGGAGAGCTGCTGTTATCGCGGAAGCAAAAAGCGCCGTAGATGCCAGGCAAAGACGTAAATATCCTACGGTAGAAGACTCCCCAGTATTTTACTACTGCGGCCGTTGTCAAAAACCGTGCCGATCGTGCATTGATTGTTTTAGCCATAAGCGACGCTGTGTTTTAAGATAAATTATTTTCCACTGCCAACCGTCGCCATGTTTATTTTGGTTGTCATACTGATAATTATTTGGTCGTTTTGTTCTCCGGCCTTCTTGCATTATTTATGTAGGAATTTTTAATGGAGAAATTATAAATTAAAGACAAAGGGTAATGGGAAAATAAAGTTACTGCATCTGATGACATTTATTTCTCCCTCCAAAAAGGCTGGTTGGCTATTTTTTTTATGCAATAATTTAACCAACTCAACTCAAAAGACGTTTACTGTGAAAATGGTAATGATGTGTTATACGAATGAGAAAGGGGGTGGTAAGAAGTAGAGATTATGTGGATAAAGATGATAGATAACAATTGACCCTTGACTTGAATCAAGGTCGAGATTGTAGCTCTCAGGGGAACATCCACGTGGGAGTCTATTGCAATTCTTGAGAAAATTTCAGTCAGCTTTTTTCAAGAATTAAATTTTTAATTTAATAATTTAATATTATTATTATCAATAATATTATCAATAATAATAATAATAATATCAATACTTTAATATTATCATGTAATATTATATTATTATTATTATTATTATTATTATTATTTTGTTTAATATAATTACTTTATTATTAATTTACTACTGTCATTTTTATTTTAATGGTAATTTATATATTATTATCATTATTAATTTGTCGCGTGGACGATTCGTTCCAGACCCCACGTTTGAATTAATGCATAGTTCAATCACCATGTTTTATAATATGTCAATTGTTACAGACAAAAAATATAGAAATATAAATGGTAATTTATAAAGTATTATCATTATTACGTGAAGTGTCTTTGTTAAGCCCATTGTTTCTGATACCAGCAATGTACAAAGTTATGTAGTCATTGTTAAAAGCTTTTATTGTAAACTTTTGAATTACTATATTTCTATGGTGATTGTAAGTGGACGTCATGTAATGGTGATTGGTCCAGAAAGTAGAGCCGGCGGACCGAGTTCAGATTCTTACCTAGCGTGTTACGTTCACTTTCACGCACATACCTTTCAGAAAGGCCTGAATTCATCTTTTCTCCTCCTCTAACATCGAATAATTTTTTCTTTATCAGTTCATCTCAAGTAGGGTGATAATGCTTTTGTTGTAGCCTGTTAGGGACCAAAAAGAAAGACACGGAAAGAAAAAGGTAGGTTGAACAATTGTATTGAAATAACAGAACATGTTATTAGTCAGCAGATAGAAGTGTCCGCCCGAACTATCAGGTTACACTGCGCACCGACAGCCGATATTTAACAGTCCTCCCACGAGGAATGTATGTGGCACAAGGCGGAGTTTAACGTAGGTTTCTCCGAGTCCGTAGGCTCGGCCAAAAATATACCCCTAGAACCCGCATAAGTGGGTTCGGGATCTGTCTAACTCCCCGAACGAAACTTTGCCTTTCGTCAAAGCCTTGTCCGGGTTCCTCTCTGCCAAAGCAGAGAGTTCGACAGAAGTCGCACACAGACAGAGACTGCGTCCCGTTTGCCGATATTTAACAGTCCCCCAACGAGGAATGTATATGGCACAAGGCCGAGTTTAATGTGGGTTTCTCCGAGCCCGTAGGCTCAGCCAAAAATATAGTAGGGTAGACTAGGCTGTCTAGCTTTGGGTCGCAAATAGTCCAAGAGAATTCTAAATACGAAATTATGGAGAAGACAATTGGAAACCACGAAGTCATGGCAATCCACAAATAAATAAAGGAAGCTGTGGAGATGCATGGTCACCTATACCGTGAAGTCGCACACAGTCAGAGACTGCGTCCCGTCTGCCGATATTTAACAGTCCCCCAACGAGGAATGTATGTGGCACAAGGCCGAGTTTAATGTGGGTTTCTCCGAGCCCGTAGGCTCAGCCAAAAATATTCCCTTAGAATCTCGGGATCTGTCTACCTCCCCGGACGAAACTTTACCCTTCGGCAAAGCTTCTTCTGACAGAAGTCGCAAACAGTCAGAAAACTGCGTCCCGTCTGCCTGCCTTAGGAAGTCTCGCAAGTTAGTATTTATGAAGGAGGAAGAGTTCATTCTAATGTAGATAGGTCAGCATAACAACTATTAAAACAAAAAAAGAGTTAATGAGCATTAAAACTTTTGAAGGAACCGGAAACCCAAACCTAAACAGGGAACAAGAGATAATTATGTGTTAAATAGTAGGGTAGACTAGGCTGTCTAGCTTTGGGTCGCAAATAGTCCAAGAGAAAAAATTCTGAATACGAAACTATGGAGAAGACAAAGGGAAACCACGAAGTCATGGCAATCCACAAATAAATAAAGGAAGCTGTGGAGAGGCATAGCCACCTACACCATAATGGAATATGGATATTCGCACATGGATATAATGTAAAATTTCTCAAAAACTATTAAAGATTTAAACGAGACATTTAAATGCCATACATTTCCCATAATGCCTATTGATCGAACACTAACAGAAAGAGCCAGACTTTAAGATCCCGCAAACGTGATATTAAACATTGTTGCGGGTATAAACACTTCTTTTTTTTTTAAGCGTTTCACCCCAAGCAAGGCGGGAAGCCACTAGGACGCAAGGGGTTACAGAAAATAGCAAGATCAGATAGGAGTGATAGAAGAAAGGATGAGGTTAGTGGATAGATCAAGGTAACTGGAGATGTCGATTGACATTACACTTGAATAGCTGGAGATTATAGCTCTCAGGGAAACAGGAGAAGAGAAGGGAGTTCCACAGGCGAGAGGTGCGAGACATGAAGCTATTGGAGTAGAAGAGACGGCTATATTTAGGAGTTTCGACAGTGAAGGGGTGAGAGCGGGATGCCAGTCTCGTAGGGCGCTGGAACTCATGACGTCTGGGAACCAGCGAATGCAGCTCCTCGGAGCAATTTCCATGAAAGTATTTGTAGAACAGACAGAGGGAGGCGACGGCGCGTCTGTGAGAAAGTGACTGTGGACGAGATGCCAGGACAGGGTCAACCATATTGCATATCCGCCTCTGGTGTTCTTGATAGGCATCAAGAACACCGAGGCAAACAGAAGGGGCTCTAGACCATATATGGCACCAATACTCCATGCAAGGGCGAATTGTGGATTTGTATATCTGGAGGATCGACTCAGGGGAGAAAAACTTCCTAGCGCGGCTCAGGGAGCCAACTTTCCTTGCGGTGGACGAGGCAATTGACTCGATGTATTTATTCCATCTCAGGTCAGCAGTCAACGTGAGACCGAGAAGTCGCAGAGAGTTGCTCTCGAAGTTGAGCGTCAGACATTCTAATGGAGGGAAGGGAAGGCTCTCTGTGGTGATTAATAGAGAGCAGTTTTGTCTTCGAAGCGTTGAAGGACCAGCCAATTCATGCCCCAGTTCACAATCGATTGGAGGTCCTTTTCGAGACGCACGGCAAGGTGAGTTTTGTCAGCGAGACTAGATTTGTTTTTGAGGCAGGAATAAATTGTGGTGTCATCCGCGTAGATGCCAACTTGGGAAGTTACGGCGTCAGGAAGGTCATTTATGTAGATAAGGAATAGAGTGGGGCCTAGGATGGAGCCTTGAGGGACACTTTTGATGAGACTTTATAAGCTCCAGGTACATTTGACCTGCTGACAATTTTGGTGGACTCGTGTAAGTCCAAAGGAATATGACATAGAATTTGAACAAAGAAATATTAAAAAAATATATTGTCAGGACATTTTACAAAAGAAAAGAAGAGAAATGAAATGTGAAAAGTTCAAAGCAACTTTAAATGTCTGTAGTTGATTACACACATTTTGCAAGAGCGAAAAGAATACGTCTTTTCCTTATTAAAGCTCAACGAGAAAGAAGGTTGAGTCTTTCAAGTCTCACGCCGCCTGTAAATATCGTCAGGGGGCGGTTATCCGAAAACATTTAAAAACTAAAGTTGCATGTTTATCTAATTAAACACACTATTAATATCAGTGAAGGAATCCTGTTTCCGGATAATAAAGAACCTTTTCCTGTTTGAATGGCAGAAACTTATAAAATTCTTCGACAATGTTAGCTAATTAACGGCGACTTTACGCTCGAACTAACTAAATAAAAGCGTCTTTCTTCAAACACCCAATAATGAATACAGCGATTTTTAAAAAGTTAACAGCATTCTTTAAAAGAAAGAACGAAAGAAAGAAAATGAATGAGAACATAAAAGAAAGAAGGAATCAATGAAAGAAAGAAAACGAATGAGAATATAAAAGAAAGAAGGAAGGAATGAAAGAAAGAAAACGAATGAGAATATAAAAGAAAGAAGGAAGGAATGAAAGAAAGAAAATGAATGAGAACATAAAAGAAAGAAGGAATCAATGAAAGAAAGAAAACGAATGAGAATATAAAAGAAAGAATGAAGGAATGAAAGAAAGAAAACGAATGAGAATATAAAAGAAAGAAGGAAGGAATGAAAGAAAGAAAACGAATGAGAATATAAAAAGAAAGAAGGAAGGAAAGAAAGAAAACGAAAGATCAATAAAAGAATGAGAATAAAAAAGAAAGAATGAAGGAATGAAAAAAGAAAGAAAACGAATGAGAATGAGAATAATAAAAAAGAAAGAAGGAAGGAATGAAAGAAAGAAAACGAATGAGAATATAAAAGAAAGAAGGAAGGAAAAAAGAAAGAAAACGAATGAGAATATAAAAAGAAAGAAGGAAGGAAAGAAAAGAAAAAAACGAATGAGAATATAAAAAGAAAGAAAATGAAATATAAAAAGAAAGAAGGAAGGAATGAAAAATGAATGATAAAAAAAAAAGAATCAATGAGAAAAAAACGAATGAGAATATAAAAGAAAGAATGAAGGAATGAAAGAAAGAAAACGAATGAGAATATAAAAGAAAGAAGGAAGGAATGAAAGAAAGAAAACGAATGAGAATATAAAAGAAAGAAGGAAGGAATGAAAGAAAGAAAACGAATGAGAATATAAAAGAAAGAAGGAATAAATGAAAGAAAGAAAATGAAAGAGAACATGATAGTAAGATGGAATGAATGAAAGAAAGATAAAGAATGAGAACGTGAAAGAGAAGAAATTAATGAAAGAAAGAAAACGAAAGAGAACATGAAAAAGAAAAGGAATGAATGAAAGAAAGAAAACGAATGAAAACTTGAAGGAAAGAAAAAATGAATGAAAGAAAGAAAATGAAAAAATAAAAGGAAGGAGGAGTGAAGGAAAACGAATATAGTAAGAAAAGAAAGAAGAAATGAATGAAAGAAGCCGACTGAGAATACAAATGAAAGAAAACAAATGAGGACATTAAAAAGATTGAAAGAAAGGAAGAAAATGAATGAGAACAGAAAGAAGGAATTAATGAAAGAAAAGGAATGAGGATGAAAAAGAAAGAAAGTATGAATATCTATAAAAGGCAGGATATATGTGTGTGTGTGTGTGTGTGTGCGTGTGTGTGTGTGCGTGTGTGTGTAAGAAATGCACGGCCGCAATTTTTGACGGATTTGCACTAAAATTTACATGCACATGCTCCAAGTTAGTGGGAAGGCCAAGACCGACGTTGCATTTCCCAACTCCCATCGATAGTGGAAATAATCGATTTTTTTCATGCTTCTACGGCACTTTTCATGTAGTTTGCGGCCATTTTCTACTGGCCAGAGTGAGAGCCAATAGCTGGCTGACACGATTAGGCAGAAAGATTCTATTGGCCAGCGTGAGAGCCAACAGCTGACTGACACGAAGGTTAACTAACATACTAGCATGCAAAAAAATCGATAGCTGCATTCGTCACAAGTGGGAAAAATTTAAATCTGCATGGCACTTTACTCCAATTGGCTCATTCGCTTGCTTAAACTCAACGTTGATTCTGATTCCGAAGAACTGGGTTGGGTGTGAAAAAGTATTTGTTGTTAACATTCTTTTTTCATTCGGTTTTTCCAGTTACGAGTCCTTTTTTAAAGCTGATCGTTTTGTGTTCATTTTGTTTAGTTCTTTTTTCGTAACAGATTTAATGTTTAGTATAGAGCTTAGAAAAAAATTCGCATTGTGAGATAGGCAAGAAGTAAGGCATGTAGCAACATCAGCACGGCAAAGGGCACTCCTTTAAAGGCAAGGAAGGGCAAAAAATATTTTAAGTCAAGTGATAGCGATTGCTGTATGAGTCGTACGATTTTTGAATCAAGCACGGGCAACGCCGGGCCATGCTGCTAGTAAGAAATAAAAGTAGCTTGGAAGGGAGAAAACTAAAATAATATAAGAACGAAAGAAAGGGCAAGAAAAACTTTTTTTTAAAAAATTAAGCAAAAATGAAAAAGCGTTTATCTTGTAGAAAACCTGAATTTAAAAGACGAAAGAAAGAAGGGATGAGCAGAAAAACGATATAAAGAAATTAATAAAAATGTTTAAGGCTGAAAATAAATTAAGAGGGATGGGTTGTATAAGCAAGCGTAAAAATGTTGCAATTTTTAATTGAAATATTGCCAACTGGAACCGTTTGCCAAAATCAAAACTAACTACAAAAGATGAGGAAGACCAAAAAAGAAGATCCGATTGAAATAATCAACGCTAATTAGAATTTGATTAAAAGATATTACCGGCTATATATATATTTTAAATACGCAAAATCCTTGATGTTAGCCAGCGTCTTTGCCATCATAGAGAAAGGGTCGCTTGCCCCATGGAAAATAACGCGGCGAAGAAAACATAAACTTGGGACTGGATACAACAAATCAAGAAATATTATTTTAAAGATGTATTCACTAATGCAACAACAACAACAACAACAACAACAACAATAATAATAATAATAATAATAATAGTCAGAGTAGATTCGAATAAGCTAAAAAAACTGTGATTGGATACAACAAATCAAGAAATATTATTTTAAAGATGTATTCACTTAAAGATGTATTCACTAACAACAACAACAACAATAATAATAATAATAATAATCAAGGTGGATTCGAATAAGCTAAAAAAAATAGGGAGGAGGATCTAATGAAAACAAATTTTGAGAAAAAAATAATTGTAATGTTAATAGGCGTTTCCTTATAAGTAAAAATTCGACATTCATTGATCAAGCAGGCAATACTGCTGTCAGGTGAAATTTGTAAAATCTTTCTATTAAAAAAAATCCGGGAAGAATACGTTTTTCACGCTCAGTAGCTATTAATGTTCTCTCTCTCTCTCTCTCTCTCTCTCTCTCTCTCTCTCTCTCTCTCTCTCTCCAGTACTGATGTGGGGTTCCTTTGGTTTGGTGTATTAGTGAAACGTCCGTATGTTCCTTATGTCATTATTCGCTCTTCAATTTACCTGTGCTATCCATTTTAGTTCTTACTGCTGTTGAAAGTCTGTTATCTGGTACAGTTCTTTGTTTGTGATTCTGTAGCGCCAGTCCCGCAGATTCAAGGAAGGATGTTCTTCACTAAGACCTACACGCTTCATTCGCTCGAAGCCATTTTTAACCCTTCGATGCATTTGCATTTATATGAAATTCTCGATCTGACGAAGCATAAATAGTTTTTAGTTTAATGTTTTCAGCGCCGGATTTAAGACAAATGAGACCCTGTGCTTTGAGGTCCTTTACTTGGGCCCTGAAAGAGGTAGACCTCGCATGCCTATACAGGCACGGAAGCAAGATGGGGCCCACTAGCCAACGGGGATCTGTGCTTAAGCACACCCAAACATAATGGTAAATTCTGCACTGTCGAGCGGAGACTATTCTATGTTCAATTTCCTTATCTTCTGTAACAGAAATGATACAAATTTAAAGTTTTCTAAAAAAAAACTTCTGAATATTTATTAAGGTTTTATTTCACTGATTTGAATGTTCACAGTGGGTGACTGTTGTTTATTACCGGGGGACTAAGTGACAGCAAGGCTACTCAAAGAATCTATCCCATTTCTCAATATTCTTGACAAAATTGTGGCCCGAAGGAAGCTTTCTCAAATATCTTTTTCTTTTCTGTTTAAGGACACATATTTATATCAAACTGAAATTTCTGGGACGCATAATGAGAAAAGATGGATTGGAAAATATGACACTCACAAGACATCTCGAAGGAAAAGGGACAGTGTGAGGCAGCGGGTAAAAGACCTGACAAGCTTATGTGAAGCGAGATGAAGGAACAGGGAAAGAGATGGATGGTAAAAAGACATTGTTAAGAGCTACAAAGGATAGGAAGTTGTGGAGAGCCATGACCTCCCACGCCATGAAGACACGCGACACATAGAAGGATATTGGTCTACCTCGTGCATGAAATAGTTGTGTATTTGCCACTGGAGGTAGGTGTTTCAATGCAGGTTTTCGAATACTGATTTTCAAGGTAGTCACTTAGGCTAAACTGTCATAGTTGGAAGACCAGTGTAAGACAAAATTTCTCCATATATTTTCCGTATTTTGCTAAGCATTTTAAATAATAATAATAAGGCTGATGTTGATTGTTATGTGTCCAGATCCGAAGGAGGCAGAGGATTAGTTCAACTAGAACTATCTTACAAAATCACAACAATAGTTCTTCAAAACTACAGAAAACTGGATGATGATCTGTGTCAAAGAACATGAAAGAAATAAGAAACTTTATTAAATAAAGGAAGCCAACAAATTCAAAAGGGAATTTATAGTGGGTGAAGAAGTGCAAATAAATCATAATGCACCTTCTGCAGCGATAAAGGATCTAAAAAAGAAAACAAAAACAAATGCAATGTGCCAAATGTAGAAACGATGGCGAGATAAGCTACTACATGGTCAATACTCTGCCCGTACCAAACAAGCTAACCGTAGCCATCAAGTGGTTACGTAGAGTAGGGTTAAAAGCTGAAACGGAAAGTTTTATTTCCCTTGCACAGGACCAATACCTGCTTAGAAATTACCAAGCATACATACTGAAGAATTGTGTTAACCCGAAATGCAAATTATGTGATAAATATCCAGAAACAATTGACCATTTTGTATCAGGTTGCTTGTTGTTAGCATTCAGTAAATATAAAACTCGGCATGATAGAGTAGATCAATATCTGCACTGGAAAATATGCAAGTTTAAGGGAAGGAAGCTGCAAGAAACTGGTATGAATATCACCTAGACCCGGTTACAGAGAGAGGACCTGTAAGAATTTTAAAAGACACACAGACAGTACAATCAAAGCTAATAGCACAGACATCAAAGACCAGAAGAACAGAATGTGCTTTCCTATTGACATGACAGTCTCTTCTCATTTGCCATGCATCATCCTAATGCCGGTGTTGATTGTCTGTATGTGTCAAGATCTGAAGGAGGCAGAGGATTAGTTCAACTAGACCTGTCTTACAAAACCACAATAATCGGTCATCAAAGATACCTGGAAACTAGAGATGATGATGATCTGTATCGAAGAACATGAAAGATATAGGAAACTTTATTCAGTAATAAAGGAAGCCAACAAATTCAAAAGGGAATTTATAGTGGGTGTAGAAGTGCAAATAAACCATAATGCACCTTCTGCAGCGACAAAGAACCTAAAAAAGAAAGCAAAAACAAACGCAATGTGCCAAATGCAGAAACGATGGCAAAATAAATCTATTCATGGTCAATATTCTGCCCGTGCCAAATAAGTTGATGTAGATGAACCCCGTACCTATCAGTGGTTACGTAGTGAAGGGTTAAAAGCAGAAAACAAAGTTTTTATTCTCGCTGCACGGGACCAATGCTTGCTAACTAGAAATTACCAAGTACGCATAATGAAAAATTGTTGATTGTTTGATAAATATCTATAAAGAACCATCTTGTATCAGGTCTCACAGTGTTAGCACTCACTGAATATAAAACTCGACGTGATAGAATGAGCCTATATCTGCACTGAAAAATTGGAAGGAACCTGCAAGAAACTGGTATGAACATCACCCAGGCCCAGTTACAGCGATAGGTCCTGTAACAATTTTAAGGGACTTTACAATACACACAGTCAGCACAGTGAAATCTAATCACCTAGACATCGGGATCAGAGATCACACAAACAGAATGTGATTTCTTATTGACATGACAGTCCT